ACCAACCAGTTGAATGGAAGTATATAGTCAGAATGGAAGGAAGTCAAATGGTCAGACGGCTTTGGCCCTTTCTAACCTGTCCATAGTCCTGCTACGTCTGCAAGGACCACCCTTAAAGTCTTTGAAGTCAGTGATGCACCTGATGGCCCTGCCCTTGGCTGGGGGATCTCCAGGCGTTCTCTGCCGATAATACCTGTCTGGAATTCGGGCCAGCAGATTCTCATGTTGTGATAAAGCCTGAGCCAAGGTTCCTACTATACGCCAGGCTCTAATGTTCCTTCATTCCATGTGTCTTGCCTTTCCTCTTTGACCCTGCTAGAGCTAGGGTCGAGGTGGATCGCCCACCTGGGTGAACCCTCATTTGTCGATCATAGTTCTTACCACTGGCGCTTTCACTTCCACTTCTCCTGGTGAGTAGCTGATGTTTTGCTGTCTGGTTCGCACAGCCATCTTAATAATGTCCTCTTAGTACCTCTGGGTCTCAGTGCACTCTCCCTGAAATGGTTGAAGGTGCTCTCCTTCTGTTCTGGCTTATACCAGATTGGAGTCGTATCTCTTCTAAGTGAGAGAATGAAGTGACTTCTCCTTTACAATTGGGACTAAGACCCGAGCCTGACTCTGGTTCTGTGCTGGACTGCATGGAACGTGGGGTTCCGAAATATCGAAGTGAATATCTGAAAGAGGTGTAGGTTACTTGAGTAGCCTGAAGTAGGGAATAAAGGGGGTTCTTGTCGTGACTTGACTTTGAGGTCGTGTTTTCTAAGCATGTCAAGATTTGTGTTGTAGGTCTCTGCTCCTTTAGCGTCACAGAAAGAGTGAAACTGCAGCACCTGGCTTTTATTCAACTGCATATGCTAAATACACTGCACAAATGAAAGTGTTTTCATTGGCCCATTACACATGTTTAGAGGATATTCCCAAAGTTGATTATTCAACATCTCATTTCCCTCCTCAAGGGGTTATGCATGTAACTGTGATGTTTTTATTTATTTATTTATTTTTTATTATTCATTGATTTATTTAATAACAAATGTATTTTTAATTGTCAAATGTACAAATAACTAATTTTGATGATTTTGGGCAAGTGTATCTGAAGTCATTTGAAAACTTTTTTTTTAAAAGAATAAAATATATTTCTTCTAAGTTAGGACTTCCCAGATAATTAGCAAAGGGATGCGTAAATAACTGCAAATTAGTTGCAATATTTTTATAATATTCATTTTTTCAAGCATTAAATAATTCATGCTTAAGTCATTTTGGTCCTCCATAGAAAATCAATATGTTAAATTGAGCCAGAAATGAAATACGTCATGTAAAGAAGAGCTTGTTTTTTTTTTCTTTTTTCTTTTTGACTCATAATAGTTGAACTGTGAGAACAGAAAGCTCAAGTATTTGAGCCTGTCATCACGGCCCTGTTTGGAGGAACTGCTGCCCAGTATTTCTGACTGCATTTCACTTGAAGAAGAGGCAGAACATCAAGATGCCAGCTCCGATCCCTTTTCCCAGTATAAACAGCAGGTCAAAGGTATTGAAGTCTTGGAAAATGGTGCTAATGATCGAAATGGCAACGTGTTCGCAACTGCATTTGCTCCTCCCACAGATCTTCAAGAAACCGTGAGCTCTTTGCTGGAGGAGAAAAAGCAGTTGGCTTGTGAGCTTCAAGAGCAGAAGAGGCAGATTGAGGAGCTGACAGCACTTGTGAGTAGAAGTGGAGTCAGTCAGTTTGATGAAGGGGGTACATGGACTGTGCAGATTGTGAATAATAGATGCGCTTGAAATGAAACCCTCATGGCCTGCTGTGTTGACGCTGGAGCAAAGTGGCATGTTTCTTAAAAATGTCCCCAATGCTAATTACAGAGTGAAAAGGAGCAGGCAGAGATGAAGGAACTTTGTAAAACCATTGAGCAGCAAAGCAAGACCCTTAAGAGATTCAACAGGGGTGAGTTACGCTTCCTCGTTTCTTGTCTTGCTTTCAAATGCATGACATCATCTCAAATGGCCTTCAGGAAGATTAATGCTCCCCAGCAGCCCTCTCGCTAACCAAGTCCCCGATCAAATTATCTGTAAAAGATTGACCACAGGAAGTCCCTTAGTCCAGCTGGGGCTGATGCACTTTGTTTTGACATGCTCTCAGCGCTCTCTTTGCTCATTTGTGTGACTGGATTATTAGAAAGAACATCCGGCTTTGCTGCCGTGCATATGGAGAGCATTAGCAAGAGTTGTTTGTTTCGTGTCTGTAAGCCCAACAAAGAAGTTTACATTTTTTCTAACACTCATTTAAAGGGATCGATCTGTCTAAACGAAACATGCTACAGTATGTTGATTCGAGCTCTGTGCTTTGAGAAACATGGCCGCTGTCATCCCAGTGAGCATGACCTAACTCTGAAGCTATACATTTTTCATTACAGTTTAATAATAAAATTACACAATATATGAGTATCTAGGTGCAATTTTATATTATTATATAATCTAATATTATTCTTTAATGTATTAACCCTAAGAAGTCTATGTATTTGCTAGTCACAGCTTTCAGTTTTGAATTATGAAGGAATGATGCAATGCACCTGTTGCTTAGATTTCAAATATAATGTGTAGGTTTCAAAAAGGGTATTAGTTTGATATTTTTGGTTTTAAAAGAACGTTACAAGAGGTATGACACATAATTTGCAAGGTAATTCAAATTAAAATATAAGAAATTTGTTCAAAAACTTTAGGTTTTGTTTTAATCAGTGCCATCTAGTGGCTAAAAGAAGGGATAACCCTTGGAAGTACAAGATCTGTGAGACGTCTTGTGTTTTTTTTCAAATTCTGGGAAAAAACAAAGCACAATGGAACAAAAATGCTTGGAACAGCTTTTTTTGTCTTAACACTTTTGTTTTTTTTGTTATAAACAGAAAAAACAGTTTGTTGTCAATTTTTGACTTTTTTTCAGTAAAAAATGACAAAGTCTACTACTTGGAATTTTATTTTTTTGTACAATTTCTGGATTGTTGTGTAATTATTGTGTCCAATTATGAAAAAGAAATTGTAAAAAAGAAGCTGGGGATGTACTAAAAAAAACAAAAAAACAATCATTGCCACACAAAAAAAAGTTTTAAAGGTAATTTATTAGAGAAAATTGTAAAGTAGTCAAAATGTTCAAAAAGGTCCCAGACTTCTAAGGGTTAATGTAAGTTGTAAAAAATTAGCCGTTTTCAACCAGTGCTTCAGAATTTTTTAAATGAATGCGCTCTTCATGGGGGGGCTGAGGGTGAGGCATGGGGGATGGACTGCCCAGCAGCAGCCAGGCAGGCCCACCCGAAGCACGGGGTGCTCCCGGCAGGCCCCACCCAGGACCGCCACCACCCACACACGACTGCCGCCACCTGAACTGACAACCTTCTAACTAGAAGGCCACAGTACTACTCACTGCGCCGCCTACAAATACACTAAACTAAAGGAAAAATAACAAAAAAAACTTATTTTCTGCTATTCTAGTTTCGATGATGGCCACTCATGAGTATGAAAACATGAAGGAGCAGTTGGACTTGGAGCAGAACCTCAGACAGAAAGCAGAAACCTATGCACATGAGGTATTGATCCAATTTGATCACCCTTTTGGAATGAGAATGAACACCGTTTTCTATCACATCACTGAGTGTTAGCAGGCAGGGAAGTTAGAAAGCTTTTCTCTCTGATGAGCAGCTAGAGATCTTCCACCGGGATCTCTCCAGCGGCTGTTATTTTGAAATGTTCCTGTTGTCCCTGAAAGATTTTCACTGGCTACACAGATATGAAATGAGCTCAGGCTCATTCATTTTGTATCACTATTAAAATATGAAACACTTTCATTTATTTACACAGAGCGCCTGCAAACCTGCGTTGTGATTGGTCGAATGGATATATTGCATTCTGCTGCATGTGAGCTTTTGTTTATCCTGTATTGGAAGCAGTAATTCACAGCTGAACGACTGAAGTGGTTCAAAAACAGTATCTTGAGGAGAGATGTGAATGGTTTAAACACCATAAGAATATGAAGTCACTTATATTCACATTTTCTTGCAATCTTCAAACTTTCTGTTTAGTTTCTGGCATGCGTGTCTATATAATGATGGAATGGGTCATGCTTTCCTTCTGTTTTAGATGATGGTGAAGCAAAAGGAAGCTAACAGACAGAGCATGATTCTGCTGCAGCAGGCAGAGCCCAGCATTCAGCTCCTCAAGGCATTAGAAGATGTGGCCAGTGTCACCAAAACCCTAGAGGAGGAGAGGAGGCAGCACCAAGAGAGGGTAAACAATGAGTTCTTTTTAGGTCTTTGTACGTCTCATATTTCCCACTAACAAACAGCTTATACTTTCTCTTTCTTGAGCTTTCAAAAATTGGAACATATCAAAATGTTTTCTAAATATTAAGGTGCCTTTAAGCTTCACTGTCAAGCTTTCACAGTGCAGGTGAGGACTGTCAGCTCTATGATTGGTCAGTTTAGTGGTTAGTGTCATATCCATTGGTCAAGAAAAACAACAAATGTCTTCTCTCCTTCCCTATGTCACCCTAGTCCTAACACTAGGAATTTAAATGGTTTGAGAAACAGTTAATTTTTCACAGAAGTGTTTTCAAGCTTTAGTATGCTCAGTTTCTTTCGCCATTATTATTTTCAGCAACAAAACAAAACGCGAGCGAAGAAGAGACGGATCAAAACTGAACTACAGAAGCGACAAGCGTCTACGACGTGCTATCACAGGCCGGTTACTCACAGAGTGATAAAAAAGGCTTGACACTGAGTATAAACCAAGGTTAAGCATCCATCAATCTTCTTCTATGTTTTATACTGAACCAAACGATACGCTGTCCTCGGGTTTAATACGCGCTTGTGAACCATCTTTTTTTGGTTCCTCATTTGAATAACTCCTTTATGTATTATTATTTCAAATTGCTTGGCAAACTTCTTGTTTATGGATGTAAATGCATTTGTGGAGCAAATATCCAATCAATGAACTGCTCCTTGTGTAAACATTCCTGTTTTCCTGTGGCTCAGTTGGTAGAGCATTACGCTAACAAAGGTAGTGGGTTCAAATCCCAGGGAAAGCAAGAACTGACAAAAAAAATGTGTTCATTCTTTCAAATGTAAGTCGCTTTGGATAAAAGTGTCTGCTAAATGCATACATGGAATAAATGTTAAAAAAATAGTCAAGTAAGTGGAGGGCAGGACACTGCCAAGCCGTCGTAAGTGAACTGAAAACCTTGGTTAAAAACACCAGATAGAACTTGAGGAACATTGAGCAACACTAGCTGTTAGGGGACAAGGTGAACCATTTTTCTGAATTAAATTCACAGAAGATCTTGAAAAATCATTTTTTTTTTTTTGGTTTGAATATTTTGATTATTTTACTTTGATCTCTTAGCGTTGTAAACCATAAGATTAAAATACCCATATAATAAATAAATATATATATATTATTTAACTGTCTGTTTAAGCTGAATGAAAAACCAGTGGTTGCGTCCCGTGCCTATCCAGAATTCTATGGGAAATGCTGTGTGGTGTTTGAGCATCAGTAGTACTGATGTGTCACACGTCGATATACAGACTGACCCACTATTCACATCCAAACAGAATGGATCAAAACTTCAGACATCACACAATCAATGGGAAATGTGCCGCACTTTTTTTTTTTTCACATTTTGGATTTTGTTAACATCATCATAATTCAACTTCAACTACACATCATTTTCGATGTGTAGGTGAATTTCATATGTGTACATTCACTCAGTCTGGTCTGGAAAGGGGTTGTTATGCTCCATCTAAGCTCTCTGAGAGACCTGCCATGAACGTGTTTCTAACTCAGCACACAATAGTTTCTCCAGACATGAGCTCCCTTGTGTTTGCAGGTAAAAACTCTGGAGACTGAACTGGAACAATGTGCTTTGCGTAAGCAGCTTGTCCAACTGCAAAGACAGCTGGAGATATTAGACGAAGAGAAGAAGGAGACAGAGGGACGACTCTTAGAAGAAGAGAAGAAAAGCAGTGTTTTGGAACAGAAAGGTAAAGCTAAATAACTCGGCTCTGAAAGCTGCAGTACCCCACTTCGAGTAACCGCTGCATCTTTGTGGGGTTTTTCCACAGTGAAAGAGCTGCAGGAGGCGAGGTGGAGCTGTGAACCAGCAACAGCATCCTCCCCTGGGATGGCTCCTCCCCCGGCCCCAGTTCCTCAACCCCCACCACCACCACCACCTCCGCCACCACCTCCTCCCCCGCCTCCTCCCTCCCGCTGCAACCCCCTCAGGTAGCGCCCCATTTTACTGCACAAAAGCCAAGCTGTCGCCCTGTCATTTTAATTAGGAACAATGTGGTCCTTCATCCGAGCTCCACTGTTTAACCACAGTTAGTGATTCAAGACAGTTTTGTAAAAACATCATCTTTACTGAATGAAACTTGCTTTCGTCTATTGAGAAAAATATGCAAATTAATACCGGAATGTTTTTAATACATGATGCTGCTGAATACAGATGGTACTCTCATCATATAATTACTGACATTGTGTTGCCACGTATTTAATAACAGCTATGTTTCCATCCAAAGATCCATTTATTCACAAAAATACAATATCGTATAAAATCATATAAAATATTTGTGAATATTTGATATTTGCGCCAAAAATATAAAGACAAAAGGGAGTTGCTGCGTTGTTTTTTTCATATCTAAAAACTCACTTGCGTCACGAACACGTAGACAAAACAAAATATGCGCAGTCATGTCGTCTTGCTTTTAGAAGGCGGGAGACTGCTCTTTGGGAACGCCCCAGTTCTGACAGAAAAACACAATCCCATTGCATCATAGCGGGATTTATTCAGTAAATGCGTTTCCAGCATATTTTATCACATTTTTTTTTTTTTTTTTTAATCATTTTTTAAACGTATGGGCACCTTGGCATTCCCATCCAGGTTTTGCAGTTTTCCTCAAAAAAAACATTGACTCAAAGTGAGATTAAGTTTGCATCAGCTAAATAAGTGTTGCTTATCCATAAACTAACTTTAATCACTGCACATCTATCATCCTGCCTTATTGAAAGTACAGTTTAGAAAGTGGTGTACTGTCTAAAAGCTTTCTCCAGTGTTGTAGAAGGGGTCATAGTTACATTTTTGCATAAACAGCATTCATCGTTCACAAAAAAAATCCAGAACTTGTGGGAAGCAGTCAATGATATACCAGAAATATCTGAAGCTTAATCCTTAGAATGTTGAGTAGTCCATTAAACGAACCGACACAAAGTCTATGTTTTAACATTTTACATGGGGCCCAGAATTCTCAACTCTGATTGGCTGTATAGTCCCTGTGGGTCATGGCTGAGGACACTGTTGAGGATAAACAATATTTATATTTTGTGGCGCTAACAGCATCTCTTTGATTGCGGCAGCTCTCTCATCGCGATTATGAGGAAATCTTCCAAAGGAGGAAAGGGATCCCCAAAACTAGAACAAGCCCCAGGTGAATGTCCCATGTTACAGAAACCACAGTGCACTCTATTTTGTTCGCCTTGTGATTCGTACAAGGACATGAAACTTGTTTTTTTTTACATGCAGTGAATGAAGCTGTTGACGACGTCAAAGTGAAGGCGGTTAATGAAATGATGGAGAGGATCAAACACGGAGTTGTTCTCAGGCCGGTGAAGAGCCAGGACACGAAAGTGAGTAATCACCAAAA